GGCGTCTCCTTTATAGCGGCGCCGCTGGGCGCGGCCCCCTCCTCGCAGCTCGGGCGCGGGGCGCTGGCGCGGGGCCGCCATGGACCTGCAGATCCTTGAGCACCGCGTGCGGGTGCTGAGCGTGGCCCGCCGCGGGCTCTGGCTCTACACGCACCCGCTGCTCAAGCTGCTCTTCCTGCCGCAGCGCAGCAGGTACCGGCGCCCGGGCCGCGCTGGGGGGAGCGGCTCCGTGGGTGACGCGGCCCGGGCTGCGCCGCCGTGGGCTCCGGGGTGACTCCGCGGAGGGCCCGGAGAGGAGGCCTCTGCCTTCCGTGGGGGTGGGGGCCGCTGGCGAAGACGCACCCCCTGCCTGCCGGCCTCGGGGCTGGTGTTTGCTCCGGAGACGGCCGCTTGGCTTTTTTCCTTCTTTCCTGGAGAAGGAGCTGGTGCTCCCGACCTTGGAGAAGACTGATGTGAAGTGAGAGCTGTAGGAAGTGCCACGGTGGCTGCTGGGGTTTGGTGGCTGCCTGCCCTAGTGCTGTGCTGGGCAGGGCCCGACCTCCTCCGAGCCCTTGTCCCCTGGGGGTCTCATGCTGCCCCCTCCTGCCTGCTCAAGTGCTGGTGCTGGGCAGCTGGTGTGTGCCCTGCCTGCTGATTCCTTGCCTTGCATCAGGCTCCCTGGTGATTCAGCAGCTGGAGGATTTTCCTTGTTGCGATTTGCTCGCCAAATGTAAGCCTGTCTGATTGGTGTTTGGGAATGAAATTGCCCCCAGGCCCAGACTCCTGGCTCTGTTCATGGGAGCCGGTTTACCTGTGTTGCTGCTTGCTCTCTCCATTGGGGCTAGAGAAGCTTGCTTCTAAATTCATGGGTCCTCTTTAAAACTGTTCCTCTGACTGTAACAGCCCTTATCCAACTCCTTCCAGCCGCCCAGAGGGTGTCTGCAGGGCATCTTATTTAAAATCTGTTCTTGTCACACTTCAGAGTCTTTGTGTAGACAAAAGAGAAAGTGTTTATAAAGCCAAACTGCAGCTAAAGTTGGGCTGTATCCTTACAATCCAGACTGACAGCCCTGTAGGGATGCTTTCAGCTTGTGAAGAAGGGGAGTGAGGTCCTGTCTCTTTAAAAAGAAAAGTTGTGCTCACCTCGCCCATCTTCTTAAATGCTCAAGAACAGCAGTGTTCCTCATACTCATGGACCACCACAGTGTTTCATAAGTGTCATCTGCTGTATACATGGCTTAGTTTAGTTTTCAGAAAGAAATGGGGAGGGGAACTGCTTTAGGAGGCAGGAAAGATCCCTACTTTTCCACACATAATAGGAATTGCTTTTGCCTGTGGCTAATGAACAGTTCTATAGTACTGGCTCATGTGCATCACCTGTATTTGCTTTGGTAGGTGCAAGTTCTTTAGCTTGACCGAGACTCCTGAGGACTACACCATCATGCTAGATGAAGAAGGCTTTAAAGGTACAGCATGAGGACTTCTGCATGTCAAAGTTGCAGTTCATGGTGACGGTGTATTTTATTTCACTGCCATATAATTACTGTTCTAACCCATTGTATTTCTCCACTGCAGTGAAAACCCTGCAAGTGTTTGTATAAAGTATGGGGTTGTTTTCCCTTCCCTCCTCCAGTGTCTCAATACCATCATTATTAGTTGTATGGCCTTTTCTTTTACATCCTCTTGTCACAGCACATGCAGGGCTGTATGAATAACCTATAAGTCCTCTGACCTATTTTTTGTTGTTGTGGATGCTTATGTAGAGCTGTATTGCATGTTCTGTAGCTGACTGAACATGTTAATGAGGGCTTCTCTGGTATTAGCTTATTGTAGGTGAGATGCACGTAGTTTCCTTTTTTAAATATTTGCAAGTACCAACCAGCTGTAGAAGGTGCTTAGTGCTTCTCAACCTAATACTTGTCGGGGGAGGTTTCTGTACATTAGTAAACTCTTCAGAGCATGTGGCAATGTCCAGACTTAGAGTTATGTCCCTGAAGAGGAGCTACTAGCTTACGCTGCTGGTAAAGTTAATATCACAACAGAACATTACTGGCTTTCTTCTGGAAGTCAAATGGGTACTATTAGTGTAGTCCTGCCAAGTTTACTTTGTCATAAGCAAGGTATGACACCTTCAGACTCTTTATAGGTAATCCAGTAAGCTGTAAAACATGCATGGAAAGGCTTCAGGAGACTTTGCTATAGCACTGGGGTCAGCAACTCGTTTAGGCAGAGTGCCAAAAGCAGCCCATCCTTGACTTGTAAGATGTTGGCATGCCAGGGGCCAGATGGTGGGGCAGCTGTAAGGGGCCTGATCCTTGTTTTGGCAGTGCAGCTTGGCCCCTTCTCTGCTATCTGCCCTGAGGCATGTGTGTCAAGCAAAATGCCTTTGCATGCCACACTCTGGCATGTGTGTGGGGGTTGCAAACTCCTGCTCTAGCAGCTGCTGGTAGCTTTTTTTTGCTGAGACCTGTTAAAAATGCCAGTCTTCCAGTGTTCCTAATACAGCCAAAAGTGCTGGGAAAGGATAAATGCTGAAGCTTCTCTAAAACTGGCAGGTCTGAGGGGGTGGGGGGCTGGGAGGAAGGGGGTAGCAGGGGAAGGAGAAGGATAAGCAGGCTGTGGGGAAGGCTCTGTGCAGAAGCTCTGTGGTAGAGAGATGGTAGCCTAGCTACCATAGTAGGGTCTCTCTTTTTTTATGCTAATATGATTCCTAATTCTGTCCAAAAAGATGTGCTATCCTTGCCATGTCTTGGAATGATATTCCTGAGCCTGTCCCTCTTCCCCTAACTGCTTCTGTTTACACACATGTAGCCTCTATGTGGTGGGAATGCTGCTTGAAGGGCACTTCCTCCATGGTGTTTCTTCAGACCAGCATCTGGGATGATGCAGGGATGGCTTCAGTACCCTATTTCCAGGTTTGGCATGAGTGGGTAGGAGTGAGTGTGCATGGGAGTTTCCCTTCAAGTCACTGGAGACCCACATAGACATACCCAGAGTAACTAGTAAATTTTCTACCTCTTACTCTTGCTTAAAGTAATATAAATGATAATGTGTGAATCTCCAGCTATGGATACCATTCAGTACTGGGCCATCATCACTGTCACAGCAAACTAGGGAGGGCCTGCTGCCATGCAAGAAAAGGTACCTGGCTGGTACTCCATGCCCATGATATATGGTGTTCTTCAGTACTTGGCACAGGTGTGACATTGTCCCAGGACACACTGATAGTATAGCTTGGGAGAAACGGGGGGTCCAGGAACCTGTTGTTTCTTATACTTATGTCATGTGGGTAGCTAACCTGTTATACTAGCCAAAAAGTCTCAGTGAAAACTACCAAAATGGTTCCCCTCCTCTCCCAAACAAAAACAACTGTGGGCTGGGTGATTTGTTCCTATGCATAGATTTGTACTACTCACTGGAGGCTTGTCAGGTGAGGGGAAGGGACCCTGTAACTGCAACTGTGTGTATTTATGTAACTGCATCCAGTGACATGGGTGATGCTGGGGAAGGTGAAGCTGAAATAAATCTTGGTGTTGTAGCTTTCTCTGGCATGCAACATACACGTGTCCAGTGAGCCAGGCCTCTGACCTGTCAGAAGCTGGGGCAGATCTCTTTGCAAACTGGATACATTTGATTTCCCACACCTGTGCCTTCCTGTTGCAGGACAGCACAGGCTGGCATGGAATGAAATGAATTTTTTTGGATCTGGCCCAGAAAATGTCGCTGACCTGGATGCTTGGCTCAGGTTTGCTACTTCTTCCCAGCTGCAGCACACGGGTGTGTTGTACTTGGTGCTGCAGGCTAGACTGGGTCTGATGGCTTTGCCAGTTGGCAGCAGTTGACACTGGTTCACATAGCATAAATCTGCTACTCGGTGTTCATACTTGAGCTACTAACCTGTTACAAACTCCCCTAACCTGCTGAGGCTGGTCTGGGATCTGTCACTTTGGTGCATGGGGTAGTGCGCGGTTCAACAGAATTTTACCTTTGAAGCTAAAGTTGCTATGATACAAAGAGCTTTAAGACCAGGCCTCTGTTGTCAGTCTTAGTGTAACAGCTTCTCTAAAGCTGTTTTGTTTTAATGCATCTGTATATAGGGGAGAAACTCAGGGTGGGGAGGAAGAATGCAGAGCAGTGAATTTGAGAGGAGTGTTACAGACCCTGCTGGATTACTCTTTCTATTCCAAGCAGTAATTTCCAAGTGGGCTGTAGGCTCAGGGCTGCACCAGTCTTTTCCCAGCAGGGATGGCAGGCTGGGCTTGGGGTGGGCTTAACTGTGGGGCAGGTGATGGGAGGGTGACTATGGGGGACCTGTGGAGAATTTTAGGGCAGCTATGGCCCCCCAAGCCCTCCCTCGTGCCACCCCTGCCCAGGCCATGCCACTCTGTTGCCTTTTCCTCGAGCTCTGTGCTGGCCTCACATGATGTGAGATGCATGTAGTCTTGCAGCAGACTGGAGTGCCCCAAGCAGGGGTGGTGCTGGGGGGCTTGAGGGGCTATAGCCACCCCTCTGTGCTACTGCCACCTGCCCTGAGCCCAGCCCTGGCCCAGCTCCCCTGCCAGGAAGAGGCTGGCACAGCCCCTGACCCCAAGCCTGCAGTAGGCAGCCTGCCCTCTCCCTGCGCACAAATCTGGGGAGGTACATGCACCCCATGCTTCCCCTGGGGATGCACACAGCAGTGGGGAGCCACCCACCTGCATCCCCTGGTTGAACTGCCCACAGCTCCATCCCACTCCTGGCCCTGGGGTCGCATTCACCACTGTGGCTGGGCAGCATCTGCCTTTGCCCCACTCTCCTTCACCATGAGGGGCCTTGAACTGCCACCCCATGCCTCTTCCCCCACAGACTTACTGGCAGGATGCTGCTCTCTAAGCTGCCCAGCTGCATTCCTAGCTGTGTGTATGCATGTGGCTGTGCACATGCACATGGCATTTATCGGTGACATGATCAGCTACACAGGCCAAAAAAAGCTGATGGTGCATAGTTTTCCCTTTATTGGTTCTGATCTGATATTTGACCAATTTATCAGCGCATCTCTGGTCTGGCCCCAGCATGGGTGCAGGCAAACCTCCACCCCTTCACTGCTGACACTGCCAAAGCCACTGGCCTGTGCTGGACTGGTGCTGGGATGTTTTGGCCCATAGCTTGGAAAGGTAGCTGGTTTCTGTGCTAGAGAGTAAGGCTGAACAATGTATCCAAGGCAGGCTGGAAGAACAGAATGGCCAAACCTTTGCAACCAACATTAAGTTGCAGATGTTTGACTCTGAGTGCTGGAGTGAAGACTTTCAACACTTGTGATAAAGGAGTGACTCCCTTAGTTGGTGGTAGGGATACGTGTGGTCTGGATGCGATTCACACAGCTGGTTTGGATGTGTAACTCACCCTGGCAGTGTGTCACTATTGGCTGAGAAAGCTAATAAGAGTCCACAGCCAGTCTCCTTACCTATAAGCAGTAGCTAGGATGTCAGCTACCCTGGTTGTTACCTGGTTCAGAAAGAGATACCATCAAAGATCACTATACATTCACATCTTCCTACACAGCTAGTGTTAAATTCAAGGTAACATTACAAATGAGAAATTATGGTAAGCTTTTAAATACCAGCTCTTACCACTAGACAAAAAATAATTTCTATATGTGATTAAGGAGATTAGCAAGGAGGCTATAAACAAAGAGTCAAGAATATCTCTGTGTAAGGTTAATAATGCCTGGCTCATGCCACTTATTCTGGTTCATTTACTGTCCTTCTTTTCTCCTGTAGCCCTAAGTTTCTAACTTGGAAACCAACCCCCTCCATTGAGATTGTCTTTTCTGCTGGAGCTGTTCTAGCAAGTCCTGTGAGAAAAGGGCCAAACAGAGTTTGAGAGACCTACATAGATGTGGGTTAATTAGGTCTCCTTCAGAGCTAGATGGCTGCCTCTGAGGCTTTCTTGTACACAAGTGACTTAAATGACAAGCGGGGCAGTTTGGGAAAGCACTGATAAACCTATGATTATTTGATTATGGGACACCATTTATCTGTTGGCCTTGGAGAGTGAAGACCTTTATCAGTCCCGTGTTGGCAAGAATCTTTCACCATCAACAAAGGAAGATACAAGTCACCCAATTCCAGTGTACAGCAGTGTTCAGCACTCAAGTTCTGACATGGCTTTAGCAACCTGTGTTACTGCTGAATCTCAAAGTAACTGTGGGAACATGATTACATTCAAGAACCAGGTTTTCAGTAGTAGAAATTACATTTGATATGTTGTAGACCCTCCAGGAAAGGGAGAAGGTAACAACATAGTAATTGGAGTTGTCACTTAAAAGGCAGGATAGAAAAACCCCGATCCATGAATAGCACGTGTCCCTGGGGGTGGGGGCATGGCTGTGCTGGCAGTAAATGTGGAGCTCCTGCAGATGCTGCCAGCACGAAGGGGTAGGTGGTGAGCGCTGTCCAGGGGTTGGCAACCACCTGCAGGTGGTAGT